TGTTTATCCTGTATTTGATTGTGTTTATTTGCAGTTAGTTACACGAATTCAGATATGTGATGAAATCGGATAGGAATGAACGGGTTTAAAAGTTTTTAAGAGTTTAAGAGTTTTAAGAGTTTAAGAGTTTTTAAGAGTTTTAGTCAAATGCTTTATAATATAGTATAGATGAGTCAAGAAGGGAAGCATAATTGTATTAATTTTATAAGGTTGTTTTCGAATTTTTGTAGTCTTAAGTTCCGCCTTATAAAAATATGACTTATAAAAGGGTAAAACAATTTTTGGTTTTGTATGGAACTGTTTGACAGTTGCTGAATGATTTGGTGCAAAATAATTAAATGATCAGAATGATTAAGAGCATTTGGATCCAAACTCGGAGTAGAAGAGGTTTTCCATTACACCCCCTCAGAATTAACTAGTGCGCCACAACTCAAGTGGTTAATCTCTAATCGATTTTAACCAGCTGATAATTTGGTTTTCTTGACAATCTAATTTCATTCATAATTAAAAGAAACCGAACTATTTAACCGAACATAACAAACATAATCAAAGGATTTTGAATACAGATCAGTTAGGCTTTTCTATTTTATTTTGTAATAAAGATGGTGATTTATGATAAGTGTATCATGAATAGCAATTGTTGCAGTTAAGAAGTAGATGGGAGGACTGCTGTAGGTTTGTAATCGATGATGATGACTTTATCCAGGTGAGCAAGAAAATCATCGGCAAACTCGACATGGGCTGGGTGAGATATATAAGTTGCAATGCCTTCTGTTGTTTCGAAGCTTGACTCGAACACATGGGTGAACCCTTGGTGCAGGTTCTCAATGCTCACATCTTTTCCCCTGTAGATACACATCAGATTTTCCAAATTATTCATCAAGTTATCACCTGTTTCAGGAAGAATTAAACTGTTTCTGCTACTACAAAACTGAAGATCAACATATCCGGATTACAGGCGGAGCCCAGTTTCTAGGGGTTCAAACCTCACCAATGATAAGGAACGCGTGTGCATGAGTATTAAAGAAAAGACTTTCCAAACAAACAATTGAATGCAAGAAGAGATGAACACGGAGAAACTGCAAGTTTACAGCTTTTTTTTTTTTTTTATTAACCTGGATATCCAACCCGCTGTGCGAGCCGACTAATCCCAGGGCGACCACCTGCTTTGCAGATAGCCCGGAGTCACCGCATTTGAACCTCCATGGCCACAAGGGGATTTTTATTCCTCCTTGGATTTGAACCTGGGACCTCCAGGTACTTTTGACCTTTGGAGCCAAGCTCAAACCAATCAGGCACCACCCTTGTGATTAAGTTTACAGCTTTATGACCAGAGTATCTAGGATTTGAATCAAGAAGACGGTCTTCTTGCAACCATGGGTCCGAGCCAGCTTATTTGCACCTAGACTAATCATGCAAACCCTCCAATGGCCCCAAGGTGACTTGAACCGGTGACTGTCTTACCAATTGAGCTACCCCTTAGACTTAAGCCGATTAGCCTTGTTCATCATTATTGCCCTTTACTTGAAAATTAAGTAAAACGCGTTAACGAGCAAAGACCCGCCTTCCTTGAAAATTAA